GTGTCTGCAGGTCAGCTAGTCTGAAACCGCACGCTGCGAAGTTGCGTGATCTGGAAGCAGTCGACATGGGAAAAGGAAGTTGGACAACAATTTCGTCTGTCGGCCGCACGCTCGTGCCATGCTCTGGCCATATAGTGATTACTGTTTGGGGATCAACCTAAACCTCTACCGATTACCGTCCTCAGGAGAAATTCCCATATAACTACATTGGATGTGTGGGCTATGCCTACAAACGTTGGGACAATTTTTGGTGGGCAGGCGTTCCATTTAGGTACCTTTTTATCAGACTGATACATGTATATGCTAAGGAGGCCATTCAAAACATGCTGATCATGAGGTAACCGAATTACCGTCCCTCTTTTTACATACATGGGATATAGGAAATATGGGAAGATAATTAGTGGCAGGCATAAGCCATCAATTCAGGTAATTACGGTTAATGGGAATGGAGAGCAATAAGGGGAGAAAGGAACTGAAAATTGCATGCAGCTAGCAGGTTGGCTTATCTTTGTTTATTGACAAAGCTTAGTTAGGCAAACGCATGTTTCCAATTATTAGGCCTCAGGCCCATAAGTCAGGGTAAAGCAATGAAAGTTAAAACAGCTAATGAACAATAGCAAAGGGGGGAGGGTTGAGGGCATTCGGAAGTGTCGGGAACAATTGTTGTCTACTTCTGTTAATGATTTGGGGAGGTAGGGGGTTAGCAGTTAACTATACCTCTGTTTCGTCGCTGTGGCCTTTTAGAGACATTTGTAGCTCCAAAAGACCAAAAAGTTAATCCACCTCATCATGGGTCGTCTACAGGAGTAATTATTTGGTAAAAAAGGATAGTTTGCATGCTCACAGCAATTATTATTGTGGGCAGATTTTTTAAGTCACAGTAGACTGGACCTTTTTTGACGAAAAATGCTAATGGTTTTGTCGAATTTTGGCCGACCGTGTGTCTACTCCTATCCTTCAGTAATGGAGTGGACGCAAATCGATATCTAATAGGAGCACAGTGATGTGAAAGTATTATCTGTATACTGATCGTAATCGGAGGTTGAAGGGGGTTGACACTGCCAGCTAGGGAGTGATGAAACTACCTCTTTGACCGAACGCCATATCCAAAGGTCTTTCAGAATTAGTATTTTTAATTTTCACCAATTTATCCGTCAGGCAGTCTGCCCAATCGCTTAAAAGTCTGGGAATTTTTTAAAATGCGCAATAAAAAGGGCAGTAGAAATTACTAATAGTCGATTAGTAGTAACTGTCATTTCACCGAAAGGAGAAAGGGGATACAAAAATGAATCCTGTTGACTGACAAGAGAAGGCACTTATTTGTATGGCTGCCTGCCCCTGATAGACTATTTCTAGCTCAACACCCGTCGTCATCTGACCATACTCAAGTCCCAAAATTAGAAGAGCCGGAGATTCAAAATCAAACCCACCTGGTCATTGAACTAGACGCTCTTCTAGTAAATATGTGTTCCCACTCCCCATCCTCTGAGCCTTTCAACGTCATGTGGAAGCGTAGTCCGTCTGTCTGGACTACGTACTCGACGAATTATGGGTGCTCTTTTTAACTTCTTCAGCAAAATTTCTCCATTATATATCTTTTGCCTGACTATACCTGCTTCCGGGGAGTAAAGAGCGGAGTTCCACGGGGCGACGCAGCGCTCGTATCCTGAAATCTGTCTAACAGTCCACATTTAGGTCTGTCTGTTTCGCCTCAAAAAGTTTACTTGTACCAGTTTCCAGCGAACCTGTATTCAAAATGTTCCCCTTGGTTTCATCAATCCCTCTTCGTTGGCTAATACGCGTTCCTCCCCCGTTCCACCTCCTCTCTGCAGAGTCTTCACGACAGACTGCAGAAACTCTGTGCTCGCAGGAGATCCCTGCGGGCCTGCCTCTTCGCCAAAGCTACGCCCACCCCCGTCGTTACGCGCTGCCTCAAGATGTCAAGGGACATTGACCTCTTGGGCGAGGCCCAGGCGAGGTACGAACAACTGGAGCGTGAGTGGCGAGCCACCGTAAAGCTGATTTCCCCGCTGGATCCAATCAAAAATTATTTGGCGGCTGTTAAAGGTGAGTGCTACCCAGTCCGACACGTCGGAGCATCAGTCTCACACGTTTTTTAGCAAAGCTCGTGTTCTTTTGCTCCAGGCTCGCCCTTCAAGTACTTATTTAGACCTATAACATGTGCCAAACTAGTAAACCCTCAGCCAAAGACTCTTGCTCCCCTTGTAACTACCAGAAAAGTTTGGTAAGCGGGCCAACCTGATGAGCGAGATAGTGGAAAAAATGAGACAGACCCAGAAGCCATTGCTGGGTGTCTTTCCAATCAGAAATTTTATAACCGACTACAGTGCTGATACCCAAAATACTGTCAGTCGGATATCTTACTTGAGTGCATTGCTAGAAAGGGCCGAGAAAAAAATGTGATTTGTAAAAACAGGTCGTTGTTAGGAGACGACCTTTGCCTAGGCTCGACGAATACGTGTAATTGTGTTCTGGCTGAAGACCTGTTATCTGCACTTTCTTGTTAAAATCTGGCCGTTATGATTCCTAAAGTTCCTCTACTATTTGATGCCGAATTAGACGACTTGCATGGTTAACAAAAGCAGCTACCAGAATCTTCCATCTCGGATGCATCTCGCAATGATCTACACCCTATCTGTCTCATTTGTAGGTCAGTTTGGCAATAATAAAGATGAAGGTAGAAAAAGTAGTAATATTTTCAATCCACACTGTGCGGTAATGGTGTGGGTTTTGGCTCGAAACAGCCGCGTTTGCTATACTCCGAGGTTGTGTGCGTCATCCCTAAATGACTGCCAATTAAGAGTCCTGCATATAAATTCAATAAACTACTTTCCTCAATTTTTTATCCGTTTTATCATTTGCATTTAAGGACGTTTCAGTGAAAAAACAAGAGTCACGTATCCACTTAATTTATTATCAGTTTCGTTCAACTGCGACTCCAGGGAAACATAGGACTTTGGTTGGTTTGGCATGCGGTATCACACAGCTGACATTAGTAGTTGACAGCTGTGGTAGAATATACATGCCAGCCCGTGACTCATCTCCCTTAAAAGCAGTGCCAGTCTAGACTGCCAATAAAACCTTTTTAGGTGGTTGTTTCTAGGGTACATTCGTCCTAACTTCCGAAAGGATGATATTACTGGAAAAGCTTATAGTATTTAGCAACTCGTTAAACAGACGGACAAACTTAGTAGCAAAATACTGCCAGAATTCCAATGTCGACAATGGTTTCTAATGCAGCAAATTGCAAGAATATTTCTGAAGATTTGAAGACTCATACCGACCCGTTAACCGTCTACAGTAGATGTGATACCTCATGAAATATTGACTGAAATTCGAAAATGTGTTTTAGCATAAAAATACTACTTCAATAAAGTTTAAATTGTCAATTATCGTGCAGCCTAATTCCCAGATATTTCAGTCACGTCAGTATGCCAGCTTTCGAACAAGCCTTTTTCTGGCCGACTGAAAAAAAGCCGATGAAATGACTATGCAAAAATGAATACTTAAGTTGCATTATCGACACTGTCCTGATAATTTCAAATAAATGTTATAGAAAGCATGCATAAAGGTGTTCTTTCTCGTACTCCTTTGCTATAATATTACTTATTTTTCAAGCTCCCTTTTTAAAAAAGGATGTTTCAGTTTTTAAATTTTTTTTAAATTATGAGATTTTTAGGACCATGAAATGGCCATTTAGTACTGCTTGTAAGGCGCACAAAATGTTCAACATCAACTGCAAAATTTTATGATAATAAATAATGTGCAAACTTTTAGATTATTTTAACAGGAATAATAAACAAGTCTGCACTTTAAAAACGTTGAATGCCGACGCAGCAGCAGGTCGCATCCAAAATTATTCGGATTTTTTTAAAATGAAAGATACCTGAAGACATCAGTTGCTACCAAATGAATATGAAAAATGCTGTTCTAATGCATGTCTTCCATAAAATGTATTTGGATTTATTGTTACACCGAAAATTAGTTGGAAAGTTCAAACTATTTAAGTAGGCATTTTTACAGTGTAGTTTTGATAGACGACCGAAACGAAACTCATCCAAAAGCCCACATTCTGTCGTTCTGGGGATTACGTTACACGTAAATCAGTATCACAATGCTGCTTGGGTATATTTTACTCTAGAACACATTTTAGAATTTTAGTTAACCCTTCCTGAGATAACTCCTGTAATGTACATCAAGCCCAGATGATCTGAGACCTAATACGTCATTTCCGCAGAATGTTTTCCCCGACAGCTCACCGCTTGACCTCTGTTTCCCACTTCGGGTTTTATTTCTTCGAGGAGAACTGGCTTAGATATCTATCTATTGTGCCAAGGCAAAATACGACAAGCAGTGTACCAGGAAAGATTATAAGTAGACCAGGAAATGAGCCCAACCTTTCAAACTTCTTAAAAAATCTCTTTCATGGCCGTAAATGACGTACGGAGATGTATTTTCTTCAGAGTTGATCGCTGCACGGCTAGCATTGATTGGCCAGCTAATGTAGTCCGGTTGCAACCGCCTAGGACGGTAGTTGTCCCAAGTCCCTAGACGGCGGGGTCGGTGCTTGACGAGAATAGACTGTTAGTTTTAGGCTGCAGCAAGTAAAGTTTGGGTGTGCCGCCAGGTGCAGTAAACTTCTCGAAGAATCTGGTATGACTGACTAGGCGCCGGTATTTGGCGGTCAGCTGTTTTGCGTGCCGTCAGCCTGGGCAACCATAATTCATGCGAAACAAAGAACGTCTTAACCGCGGACTACCGTAATGAGAAAGAGGGAGGAGGGAAAGGAGGTGGACCGCACTGGACAGAGTGCGTCAGTCACTTTCAGAAAAAGGTGTGCTTTGTGACAACTACGGCAATC